TGAGCCTGACCAATACCTTCAGAACTTTGAGATCCATCTTCCAAAGAATTTCCAATCCATTAACTCCAGCACTATCTCTGTCTCTGGACATTTTTAATCAAAAGAATCAACTCTAAATCACACGAGGCTTCCCTCCTGCAAGTTCACGTAATCCACATTGCCTTAGCCCGCACGAAGCCACACCGCCTCTATCTGAGCCATCCTTACCTTCCCTCTTCCCGGTCCCGCAAAACTTCTATTTGCCTCCACCCTTTTCACGCAATTCCACACGCTCTTTCACCGAAGTCGAAGCCGAAGCCAAAGCTTCTGTTAGTTCTAGCCAAGATTGCTTTGCGAGGACCAAGAGGAAAAATGGGAGTTTTGGGTCTGTTCACGCCGATTTACGTCTACGTATGTCGATCCTAACTAGATCGTGCGATGCGCCGCTACTTTTCGAGGACCACGACCGAAGAAAAAGAGAAATAGGAGTTTTGCGTCTCTCTGCGTTGATCCCCATTGATTCGATTTGTGTATGTGTTCACGTCATCGCCTTCACAGTGTCATTGTCTCACATGGTTCAGTCACGGCTCCCCGTTTGCTGCAAGCCCTGAGTTGCCTTCCGACTGGTTGCTGCGAGAGGAAGGAGAAGACGAAGACAAGAGACGATTGACCTAGGTGAGGCTCTAATACCAAATTGAAATTATTGCTTAAAAAAATGTCCTTTTATTTCATTGATGATTAGCTTATATATAGCTTTACAAATTATAACATTTACAAATAAATCCCTAGACTTCATCTATTTACAAATAAGACCCTACATTAGATACAAAACTCAACCGAATCTAGTAACTACCGTGCTGCAAAATGACAAAAGGAAGCAAGCCAGCAACCTATAATAGTAGCCTGCCATAGAAAATGAATAAGCCAGCTACAATCCTACAACTTCTTATCATACATTGCATTCAAGAATAAAGTAAAATCCAGTAAGGTACAGCAGAAAATCTTAAGTGAAATTCGGTTCATATTTATTAGTTTCTGAAGGATTTAAATGATTTTGTTCTCTTTAGTGATCAATGATCATAGCAAAGTTTATACAAGAAAGTTCAAACCTATTAAAAATGGTTTCTCCCTACAAATATCCATGATGCTAAGAATTGTAGTGCCATCATAGCTATTGTGAATTATTATAAGAAAGTAGATATATGAATGAATGTATGGCACCATACTACGCATGAACATGAGCTCGATTTATGGTTCCCACCTCATATTTGTGGTCATACACCTAAATTTCAAGATTAACTTGACGAATCATAAAAATTTTCAATCCCTTGCATAAAGATAATCACCATTTCTTCCTATCCTCTTTCGCTATAAATATTTTTTTTTCCCAGATAAAATTCTCATTTTCAATACATGTGAACTTATTGTTCCAAGTAAGAACATTGAAGAACAATGGTGCCAATTTGGTTCATCTTTTTTCCATTTATATATTCAAAATTATTCAACTTCTCTATTATTTTTATGGCTTTGTTTCCTTTTTTCTCCATTTGGATAAGGGATTAGGGGCGATCAATGGTTTTACAATTAGAGATCTACTTCCAGCAAAGGTAGGCAACCACAAGAAGCAAATGGAATCCTGTAGTTTATTTTTTTCGTAAAATAGATTTGTATCTGTCTTAAAGTTTCTTCCAAGTTTCTAAATATTGGATCGAACTAACCAGTTTAATCGGTTCGATTGTGAATGAGGCATATGACCAATCCAGGTAATCTAAAAAACCGTTTTCACATCAAAAATGTCAAAACCAATGTGAACAGTTGGTCAAACCAAAAAACTGATGAACTGGACCCGATTATACAGAATCGGTCAATCCAAATTACCTATTTAATTATCTTTAATTCTCAATTAAATTTTTTAAAAATTTTATATTAGACAATTTTATAAATTATGCCAACTCAAACATATAATTATGAATTTAAAATCTTAAATATAATAATTAATATGAGTTCAATCAAACTAATTTATTATATGCCCATCACCTAGACGACTTGAGAGTTCAAGCTGCAGAAATATTTTTTATATAAATAGTGAAATGCAAAGTTTTAAAAAACTATGGGGGCTGAAATATGAGTTGGGTTTAGGCAACTCTTTGAAAATATTAAACAGGTTACATAATGTAGAAATATCATAATAAGCTTTAACAATTAAATTTTTTATAATATAAACTCTTCGTAATTTTAGTAAATCTAAAGTTGAATACTTGGAATGTAATTTTAATAGTAGTAGATCTAGTAGTGTGTGGTAATAATTGGTGATCAAGTCATTAAAAGAAGTGAATGTTATAGATATTTCGGGTCTATTGTTCAAAGTGATGGTGATATAGATGGAGATGTATTAGTAGAATTCAAGTTTGATGGTTGAAGTGGAGAAATGCATCGGGTCTATTGTGTGATAGAAAAATGCAGCTCGAACTTAAAAGAAAACTTTATTAGATGGTGGTGAGACAAGCAATGGTTTATGGTGCATAATGTAGGCATATAAAAGAGAAGCATAAAACTAAGTTTAAGAAGCATAAAACTAACATAAAACTAAGTTTAGTGTTGCTGAGATGAGAATGCTTAGGCGGATGAGTGGCTTTACACTTAGAGACAATGCGAAATGAATAATCGTGAAAGGGCTGGTGTAGCTCCAGTGGCAGACAAGATTAGAAAGTCACTTTAGATGATTTGGTCACATTAAACGTCGACCGTCTAATGATCCTATTAGGAGAGTAGATGTTTTAGATTTAATTTTTGGCAAGAAAAGTGGATGTAGACCTAAGAAGTCTTGGGCATGTTGTGAAAAAAAATAATCTTAATCTATTAGAATTAAATGAAAATATGACACTCAATAAGACAGTGAAGAAAAAGAATTCATGTAGCCATCCCCACTTAGTGGGATAAAGGCCTTATTGTTGTTGATGTTGTTGTTGTTGTTGTGTTGTATAATATAAACTTTTTTTTCTTATTAATTATTATAAATTATGTTATTATTATAACTTATATTCTTACAATAAATTATTTTAATATTTATATATCTATATCATGCATTCTTTTACTTTTCAAATATATTTAATATATACATAAATACATATTTATCTTTTTATAATACACATATAATTATATTTTGATGAGCTTTATATCAAATTTTAAACTTTTAATTATTAAAGATATTATTTGTGTTCAAGTTCTATTTATTTTTATCAAATATTTAACATATTTATATTATTGTATCATTTAAATCATATTAAAATAATGTTAATATTTATTACATCATCCAATTCAACCCTCTATTCAACTTTTGTTCAACATTTGAATTTTTCATTCTTCCGGTTCAATGGTCAGTTCAATTTTCACAAACTCGAGTTCTTCCCTGGGAGTGAGTGTTTTACACTATTAAAAGAACCTGAAATAATAATTCATATTTCATTTATCCATTTCCAATGCCTAGCATTCCATATAACCACTAAGATCTATTTTGAATCAAGCACTTGATCACAAAAGATTCTACAATGGTAAACATAGCAGTTTAACCATATATTGCAATAAAAAAAGACATAGACCTTTGTATCCTAACAAAAATAAGGCATCTGTGCAAAGTTACAAAGAAATTTTATGGTGTAGACAACATATCATAAGAAAGAGGTGTTGAGTTCAAAAGTACACAACTACATACTCACTGTATACTCCATTTTTTTAAGTGCACAAGTAGATAAGTTTTGCTCACTGCACCCTCAAAAAACTTAAGAGTATACAATGAGTGTGTAGTTGTGTATATAATACACAATGAATAAACAACAGTCTACTCACATTTGCATGTAGAGCTACAACAGATGTTTGCACGTCATCATTTCTCCATAAAGTATAATACTATATATTGATGTAACTGTGCATGGTCTAATTAAACTGAGGAGCAAAGAGAGATTCTCAAAACAATTCTACTTCAATTAAAACATAATAAATACAATTTTATTTAAACATGTATTGCACTTTTGGAAAAAAATTTCCATTTATATATATCCAAAAAAATCAAAGAGGATAAGGTGCAAACCATGACTCTCATACAATCAAAGCAACAATCATACCAAGAATTAGACATAATTTCCTGCATTCCATAAACTCTCTAGCCTAAAATAGAGAACAAGCACCATGTGAAGCTAATCATACATGAAAAAGCTCTACTTCACAATAAGACGAAAGCCAAAAGCTTCATGATGTTAGAACATTAGTACACATAACATCATCGATTGCATGTAAAGTGACCAAATTTTACCATAGAACAAGGGCACAACAAGCTTCAATTTTAGAATGGGTAAAATCACCAAATATTTACTTCTTATGAAGTGATGGGAAAAAATTTTATCGAAGGGTGCAAAATAATTAAATTGTAAACTATAACGAGAAAAATGACTAAACTTAAGGAAATATCAAATTTTAGAGTGGGCAATTTCCCACCTAGGGTTTCACATGGTTCTGCCCATGCTCGAAACTGACATTCACTATTTGATTTGCATGCGTGTCCAATGGTATCCATTTTCCATATGCCCGTGCAGTACTTTGCTATGGCTATGGGATCATGTACGGGATTACAAAAATACCTTCAGTACCTTATAGCTATAAGCATATTACCATTATTGTTGTGTCAAACTTCAATAGATAGCAGGAAATTCAGTTCTTTGCGGAGATTTCTTATTTTTAAAGACAATTAACATTCAGTACCGAAAATCCATCGACATATCGGAAACTGAAACTAAACCAGCACAAAGCCTGAAGAAATCCTAAAGCCAGACACCACCCACACCCAAATTCACCCTCTGTCGAAAAGAAAAATAAAATAAAAAGAACAGATCTGCTAATTACAAGATCATTAAACACCCAATCCGCCGTAGTTTAAATTAAAAAAATATATATATTCAAATGAACTGCGGGAAGAGAAACATTATTCAAGTAACAACTAAGCAATAACACAATAAAAAAAATCCTACCCAGCAAAACGAACACTGGACGCGGATATCACAGTCTACATAACATGGATGCAGCATCAGACCCTGCTACTCGCGGTCAAAGCCTGAAATTTGGGAAACACTATATTTTAGCTTGCAAGAACCTGCTATAAACTCTGTCATAATCTACAAAAAAAGGCAGATCAATCCCGCGCATCCTTATCTTCGCATCAAAAGAAAACCCCAACAACTCAATTTCTAAACTTCCGAGCAAGATAGAGCAGATCCAAATCCACCCTTACAGTAGAATAGTTAAATATATCTACAGGCACAGAGAGGATATTACCTCGATGAAGATCCTCATCTCTCTCTCTCTCTCTCTCTGTGTGTGTCTGAGTTGCTCTTCTGGAAGGATTTCACTTTTCACCTTCTACCTCGTTTCAGTTTCTTGAGTCACGTTCCTTTAAAGGCTAATGCGTAACGTTTACTGCTAACAATAAAACAAGGAGTCTTATGTTTGTTGTGCGTGTGCTCAATGCGGACTCGAGGGCGACTTCTGGCTACTGTGATGCGCCCGCACCGCATAAACTAGGTCCAGATTCTCGCAGGCGTTAAAAAAGCTGCACTATACTGACTTTTAATGAAAGTAGGTGGCGATATGTCAAAAGAGAATTTTTCCCCTTTTATATATATATATATTTTTTTATGAGTGAATCCGTATAATACGGTATGCGTTTGCATGGGAGATTAAAAATTTAAAAATAATAATTTGTATTTATTCTTTTCATTATCTTATGCTTTTAATCTTTAAAAAAAATGATACATTATTTCTTCTTCTAATATAACAATGAAATATATTTTTAAATTTGTTTTTTATTTTAATAAGCATTTCAATAATTATAATAAAAAGATTGTTACAATATAATTTTATCTTCCATTCTAACTTAGGAAAGATATAGATATATGTATATAAAATTCAAATATACTCTATTTGATGTTTGTTGTGAGCGGTAAGTTTTATGGTGGTAAAGGGAGAGTTTAAAGTCTTAATTTTATAGAAGATTAACTCCCACATAGCTAAAAGAAGGGGTTTCTTATTTCTTAGGTGAAAGACCAATAAGAGAGTGAAAAAAATAAAAGAAAAATCATAAGGTATGAAATAGTTGAAATGATTTCATTAGTGTCTTATATTTTGTAAATGATAGTGTTCGGTTCGTTTACACCCCTAGATACAATACACTAAACATAAATCGTGTAGAAAAGATTCCATGATAGAGGTTGGCAAAGACTGGAGGCATTAGAGTTATCTTTAGGATATATTTTATGATATGTTCAATCGTACATTCTTAAGAGAGGAGTTAAAAAATCAAAGAGTCAAGTATAGTCTCACTATAGATGGCATATTTTAGCACCATTGATGATCATGTGCATTAGCATTGTTGTGGGTGTTGGCATTGGTATCAATGGTATGCATCAAACTAATAAGAAACTGCATATGTTTATGGAATGATGTTTGCATCATTTTTTTTTAAATTTGAATCGTGTACAATTATATTTTTTTAAACTCATGGAGCCACATTATATGCTCATACATAGCCTAAAACTCCCATAGGAAACTCCACCTTATTAATGGGCATGAAATTGTTGCACCATGCTTTGCACAAAGCAAATGCACCCTAGTTGGCTTTTATGCCCCATGGCAAGCGCATAAGTGCAAGTCTATGGCTCCTAAATGTCAGGGTTGGTGTTGTAATGCCTTCCTCTAAATTTTCTTGTTTTTGAGGGAGCATAGCAATGTTACCGCTTGATTTTAGAAATATTATTGATCATTCCTCTCCCATCAAACAACCAAAATTTGGGCATAAACAAGGGGAGGATGGTCTAATAAGATGGGAGAAAAACTCAACTGCTTAAGCAAGCCAAGGTGACATCATCCTATGTTGGCTCACAAAAGCACTTTAAATTACAAAACTACTAAGCAATTTTTTTTTTTTTTTTTTGCTTACTATTCATATTGTTGCTCAATATATTTGGTATGAAAGGAGTTCCAAAAGTTTTGAAGGTGACATCATCCATGCTAACATCATTTTAAGAAAAGTCACCTTGTAATTAGATATAAAAGTGGGAAATGGAATATCAAAGAGGTCCTATGTGTTATTATTTTCATTCTAGATTTCACTACTCATGCTCTCGTCAATTCCTTTGGCTTCAATTTTGAATCTATCATGCATTATGCTTGAAGGTTTTTGGCCTTATTTTTTTTTCCTTAATGTTATTTCTATTTTGGTGGTTGTTGGATTCATCTATTTATTTAATTTTTTATTGACATGTAATGATTTTCAGATACAACACTTAAAAATTAACCAATTTTTAAATTTTATCATTAGATGTCCTAGGAGTTTCTTAATCTATAATAATGTTTTGTTGATCTATGTTAGACTGCTAGAATTGATTAGATGAGACCTTTTTAAGTGCTCAGTCTATGTTATTCTCTTTACTACTATGTTTTCTAGATGGATATCTCTACATACTCCCTATTATAATTTGTATTTGGTTAACCAATTGTTCGCACTATCATGAATTGTGTTTGTTCATTCTTATTACTAATACCTTTGTATTTTGTTGATCTTATGCTATGTCTTTGTCCATTTCTCTAAAATATTCTTCCTAATCCCGAACAAAGTCTCATTTGATACCCAAACGTAAAGGTGTGCATTATTTGGATAAAACCAAAAATTCAAACCGATTTGGATAATTTCGATCAGTTTGGAAAATCAGTTATGAATTTTTTTTAAAAGCATAATTTTTTTTATTATTGGGTTATGGTTTGAATTTTTATTTTAAAAAGTCAAATAATCCATAAATTTGAAATCCTCCTATATTATACTATTATTTTTGGATTTTCCTTATTATTATTTCTCTATTCACAGCCACTCAAGCTCTCAAGTCTTGACTTTTGACTTTTCCCTATTCTAGGAGTCGAAGACTCGTAGCGAGGAATTGTCTGTCATTGGATGTCAACGGGTTTCCTTTTTCATGCAAGGAAGCTCTAGGGTGAAATATGAAGTTTTGGTGGGATGAGGGTAATACATTTTGAGTATGACCTTGAGGTGTCCTCTATCCCCATTAAAAAACTCAACTCATGCCGCCCAATCTTTAATGTTTCTTTCTTAAGTTCTATTGTCATGTTTCACTTAATTGATATCAAGTATTTCAACTTTTCAAGCAAAAGCAAATGCATTTGGTTCTTTGAAGCCATTTATTCATTCATGTTTCTTCATACTATGATGGAAGCACTTGTCCACTCGATCTAAGTAAGCCACTATGTCGATGCAAGGGCTTTTCATTTTTTTTTTAATTTTTTTATTTCATCACATGGAGTAGGTTGTGAATCATGTGATTTGTTTACTTTTTAATTATGTGAGTTTCTTCAATTAATGAGAGAAAAGGTCATTTTCAAAACTCAAAAGAGTGTTAGGCTTACTATAGTTACATATCAAAGTATGAGGAAAGAAGAAAATTTAATATTTTTCACTTGTCGGTGTTGACCTCATTTTTTCAATAGGAAAGTCCTATGGCTAGACCTAGGCTATTAAAGAAGTTTCTAGACCTCAACCAAAAGTGAGGTCAACAGAGGACTAGTAGGAATACCTCACCATTAGAAATTCCATATTCTTCTTTGCTCAACTTGAAGTTCCACATATTGGTCCTAACCTCTAGTACTTATTAGGTGGGGTTAGTATGGGGGAGCTCAAGGGGAGTCTCCCTTAGATGGTCAGACCTTAGGACTAACCCTGGGTGGTTTGGTTTTGGTGAGTTTCTTCAATTAATGAGAGAAAAGGTCATTTTCAAAACTCAAAAGAGTGTTAGGCTTACTATAGTTACATATCAAAGTATGAGGAAGGAAGCAAAATTAATATTTTTCACTTGTCGGTGTTGACCTCATTTTTAGTTGAGGTCTAGCTTTGTCCTCTTTAGTAGTCTAGGGTCTAGCCATAGGATTTTCCTGTTGACTATTCCTAGAGGACTAGTAGGAATACCTCACCATTAGAAATTCCATATTCTTCTTTGCTCAACTTGAAGTTCCACATATTGGTCCTAACCTCTAGCACTTAGTAGGTGGGGTTAGTATGGGGGAGCTTAAGGGGAGTCTCCCTTAGGATGGTCAGACCTTAGGACTAACCCTGGGTGGTTTGGTTTTGGTTGAGATGGCTTGCACACACTAAACTTTCTTACATACCCCAAACCCTAAGACCCCTTGATTTTGTCTCATGATTCCGTTTGGAAAGCTCATATGAATGAACCTATACCCCTAGTCTTTGGCTAAGAGGGTTAGAACCAACATATTGAGCATTCAAAATGAGTCCTCACATGGCTCCTATTGGTTTGGCATGGTTTCATGGCTTACTTGCTTATTCTAGCCCAAATCACCAAAATACCCCTATAACCCTAATTTTTGCCAAAAAATCCCAAAATTACCCAAAATACCCAAATTTGTCCAAAAGCCATTTCAAATCATTGCCCACTACCCAAATTGACCAAAGTCACCAAATTCCCAAAATACCTCCAAAATTACCCAAAATAATCAAAATGCCCCTCATGACCCAAAAATTTCAAAAATTCAAAAAATCCCCAAAAATTTCAAAATCATCCCAAATATTCCCAATTTCAATTTTTAACCATCACATTGACCCAATTTGACCAATTTTACACAATTTGACCAAAAATCCCTAAATTGTCCTTAAAGGCCCAAATTTCTCTAATTCATTCTCAATCATGGCCCAATTAACCCAATGACCCCAATCTTGCCTAATTTCAATTTCGAAACAAAATTTGGTACCCCCAATCCCAATCTAAACAAAATTCAAGCCCAATTTGACTCAATTGTAAGCCCAATTTTACCTAAATCAAAATGCCCCAATTTTTAACTCAATTTTGACCATATGACTAAATCCACCAAATTGGCCTTCAATTTCAATTCAAATCACTTCCAAACTCTTCATGATACAGTCCTACATCAAATTAAACATTCAACTGATCCAAATTTTAGCCCAAATTCACTCTAATTTTAAAAGCTCAAGCCCACTGCATCTAATTCCAAAAGACCAAATCCAAGGCCCACATGATAACTTCTTTTCTCTTCATCATCCCTTTAATCAAAATCATTCCCTAAGTTCTAAATATATAATCAAATCATTCTGAATCGAGCATCATGCCAAATTTTACCAAAAATACCAAATAAATCTAAAATCCCCTTTCATGCAAAAGAGTCAAGCCACATGCAAGCCATGAAGCTACTCCCAAGCCATAGCCCAAGCCATAGGTGAGTCATGATAGGTGAGTCATGAGAGCCTTGCCACTTCATCAAGCTATTAATGGCAAGAGGCCAAGCTACATTCAAATATCCTTAAGATCCTTTTTAACCCACTTCATGAAACACCCAAACTTCATGCTTATGACAAATCACTTGGCTAGAGACCTCACCATGATGATTAAGT